CCACGTTGTCTTAAAGGATAAGAGAGCTTTCTTTCTTACAGCTGCATAGTACTCCATTGTGTACATGTACCACACCTTTTTTATCCACTCATCTATTGATGGACACTTGGGCTGTTTCCAGATCTTAGCAATTGTAAATAGTGCTGCTATGAACATAGGGGTACATATATCTTTCTGATTGATGTTTCAAGCTTCTTAGGACATATTCCTAGAAGTGGGATCACTGGGTCTCTTTTTATTTTCTTGATGATGTCTTTTGGAGCACAAGTTTTTCATTTTGATGAGGTCCAATGTATCTTTTTTCCCCCCTGTGATTGTGTGTACATTTGGAGTCAAATCAAAGAGACTATGGCTTAATCCAGGGTTATGAAAATTTATATCTATGTTTTGAGAGTTTTAGAGGTTTAGGTCTTTGATCCATTTTGAGTTCATTTTTGCATATGATGTGAAATAGGCATCCAATTTCATTACATTTTTTTATTTTTATTATTATTCAACTTAATTTTTTTGCAAGTGGCTATCCAGTAGTTCTAACACCATTTGTTGAAAAGACTATTCTCTCCCCATTGCATTGTCTTGGCATTCGTGTTGAAAATGAACTGCACATAAATGGATGAGTTTATTTCTGGACTCTCAATTCTAGTCCATTGATCTTATATTTACCCTATCCCAGAACCACAGTCTTGACTGCTATAGCTTTGTAGTAAGTTTTATTTTTAATTTTTTTTCTTTATTGAATTTTTTTTTTTTAGAGAGAGAAAGGGAGACGGAGAGAGATGGAAACGTCGATAAGAAAGAACACTGATTGGCCGCCTCCTGCATGCTCCCCACTGGAGATTGGGCCCACAACCTGGGCATGTGCCCTGACTGGGAATTGAACTGGCGACCTCTTGGTGCATGGGTTGACACTCAACCACTGAGCCACACCAGCTGGGCTTCAACATCATTTTTAAAGCTACATATTAGCCCATTACATGGTTATACTATAATTTATTTAGCCATTCTCCTGTTATGGGATATTTAGGTTATTTACCATATTTCCATTTTATAAATATTACCAGGCATCTTGTCATGTCTACATTTCAAACTATTTTCTTATAAGTATTCATATAGTCTTGTTCTCTCATACTGGCCTTTATTCCCACTCTTGTGAGGAGGTATGAAAGCCCATAAAACTTGGAACTTTTTGAGGCCCATTTCTCTTTTTTTGCAAATCCACATAAACCCCAGGGTTAGGCCTGCAGCTCCTTCAGGAAACTCTCAGGGGCCCTGGACTGGGTCAGGTGCTTCTCATCTTCCCCCTTCATCCCCCCCCCCCCAACCAGTGTGTCCTGCATTTGCCATCGCTCTCATCACTCAGTGATGTAAGTGCTCGGTAACTTGCCATACCCCACAAGATTGTGAGGCCCAACAGAACAACAAGGGCTGGACATTTTTATCTCTAGCCCTTGGTCTATAGACAACCCTAAATAAATGTTTATTGAGTGAATGAGTCAGGCAGAACAAGGAGTTCAAGGTCCTAGACCAGACTAGGAATCTTGAGACAAAGATTTATGGCCAGGATTTTGGAGCAGCCGGCCAAGTGTGCTACACAGAACTATGGGCTGGAAAGAGTCCCTGAGGTTGCCTCATTCAGGAGTTTTCAAATCTTCTCTTATGTCCACAGTGTAACTTATAATATTAGGTAGATAGATAGATGAGATAGAGGGGGAGATGGTGGAAATTGAAGCATTGTCTGTGGAATTTTCTCAGTGGCCCAAGACACTGCAATAAAACCACGTTTGTAAAAAAGATTGAGCTAGTAGTCCATTCTTTTCCTTTTTACAGACCAGGGTAAAGGTGCTCTTGAGCAAGAGAAGTGACTTGGGACTTCCGGTCAAGATGGTGATGTAGGTAAACACGGTATCGCGTCCTCCCACAACCACATCAAAGTTACAACTAAACTACAGAACAACCATCATTCGAAACCACCTGAAATCAAGCTGAATGGAAGTCCTACAACTACAAAATTAAAGAAGCAGCCACGTGGAGACTGGTAGGAGGGGCAGAGGTGGATCCCACACCCACGTGTGGCGGATAAAAATCAGGAGGATACCTTGACTGGGAAGGTCCTCTCTGAGGACTGAGGGGTCCCTGTCCCACACCAGGCGCCCCGCTCAGGGTTCCTGTGCCAGGAAGAGAAGTCCCCATAACTTCTCCCTGGAAAAACCAGTGGGAACTGAGGCTCAGGGAGACTGATGCGGCTGGATCCCCAGGCAGCTCCTCTTAAAGGGCCTGCATACAGACTTATCAGACTTGTTCCCTCTGAGCTTAGAGGGGAGGCAGCTGGAGGGGCGCCAAAGACATACAGGGAAGAACTGAGTTGTTTGGCACTGAAGCGAGGGCTGGAGGGGGGCTTTCTCCAGGACAAACGTGCTGTCAGAGGCCTTTGTTCCTTTGGTGAGCCCTTCCCTGGGGCAGCAGACAGCCACCACATCTGGGACTCCAGCAACCTGGCTCACACTGGTAGCCCCGCCCTGGTGATTCCCTGAGGCCCCGCCCCACCCAACTTTCAGGCCCACCCAAGCTGTTGCCAGTTGCTTTCCCATAGGATTGGCCTGTCTTGGATCCTGCATCAGGTTTTCCCAAATTCTTTCAAACAAGCAGCATCTTGTTTCAGCTAGCCCCATACCTCTTATTAAGTAATACATAGAAACAAACACAGAGAGGCAGCCAAAATGAGGAGACAAAGAAACAGGTCCCAAATGAAGGAACAGAAAAAAATCTCCAGGAAAAGAACTAAGTGAAATGGAGATAAGCAACCTAACAGATGCTGAGTTCAAAATACTGCTTATAAGGATGCTCAATGAACTTCGTGAGAACCTCAACGAACTTTGTGAGGGCCTCAAGAGCATAAAAAAGGACCAGTCAGAAATGAAAAATGCACAGTCAGAAATGAAGGAGGCATTAACTGAAATAAAGAATAATTTACACAGATTCAATAGTAGAGTAGGTAAAGCCAAGAAGCAAACCATCGATTTGGAATATAAGGAAGCAAAAAAACACCCAATCAGAACAGCAAAAAGAAAAAAGAAGCCAAAACAATGAGGAGTGTTAGGAGCCTCTGGGACAACTTCAAGCGTACCAACATTCGCATCTTGGGGGTGCCAGAAGGAGAAGAGAGAGAACAAGAAATAGAAAACCTATTTGAAACAATAATGGCAGAAAACTTCCCTAACTTGTTGAAGGAAACAGACATACAAGTCCAGGTAGCACAGAGAGTCCCAAACTAGATGAACCCCAGGAGGCCCACACCAAGACACACCATCATCAAAATGCAAAAGGTTCAAGATAAAGAGAGAATCTTAAAAGCAGCAAGAGAAAACCAGTTAGTTACCTACAAGGGAGTTTTCATAAGACTGTCAGCTGATTTCTCAAAAGAAACTTTGTAGGCCAGAAGGGAGTGGCAAGAAATATTTAGTGTGATGAAAAGCAAGAACCTACAACCAAGATTACTCTATCCTGCAAAGCTGTCATTTAGAATCGATGGCCATATAAAGAGTTTCCCAGACAAGAAAAAGTTAAAGGAGTTCATTACCACCAAACTGTTATTATATGAAATGTTGAAGGGTCTTTTTGAAGAAAAAGATAAAAAATATGAACAAACAAAATGGCAATGAATACATATCTATCGACAATGGAATCTACAAACAAAATGAACAAACAGAACAGAAACATTCTCATAGATACAGAGAACATTTTGTTGGTTGCCAGACAGGAGGGAGGTTGGGGGAATGGGTGAAAAAGGTGAAGGGATTAAGAAGAACAAATTGGTTGCTAGACTGACAAACCTCAAAGAGAAGGGTGTTGGGGGATGGGAAGAAATAAACCAAAGAAATTATATGCATAACCAGTGGACACAGACAACAGTGTGAGGAAAGGCAGGAGGGGGCGGGAGTGGGGAGGAGGGGGTCAATGGGGGAAAAATGAGGAACATCTGTAATACATTCAACAATAAAGATAAAAATAATAATAATAAAAAAAAGAGAAGTGACTTGTTCAAGGTCACACCAATTAGTGGCTGAGGGGGAATAGGACTCAGATCTGACTCCCATTCACAGAATGTTCCTCTATGCAATAGTCCAGCCCTTGAGGAGGACCTTTAAAGCATCTCACATCCCTTATGCAATCATCTAAATGTCCACTAACTAAAATCTGCTGCTTAAAGTATTATCCCTATGTAGCATATTTTCAAAGTAAAATTAATTTTAGGGAAAACGTCTTGTGGGCATAAGGGAGTATGACACACTTTGCAATCATGACAAAGCTTTACTATGAAATGAGGGCTTCCCTTTTTGAAGTTCCTATGAGGCACTCACTTACCATAAATATTGATATAGGGAGGCAAATGACTGATACTTTTTTCAGGTTTTAGTTCTTGGGTGGCTCAGTGAAGCCTAGGAACAGTTTGTGGGGATGGGGATGCTAACTTCTTTGCAGTATCTTTTTTCCCTTGCCTTCTCAAGGCCCATCCAAACTCCTCAGCCTGGCTTGCATTCCGGGATCCTACATCTCTCTCCATGCCCCACCCCCATCTCCTCCAGTCCCACTCAAGATCCCCACTTTCCCTGAATGAACGAAGTACTCCCGAAGTCAGGGCTCACGTTTTATGCATATTTGCATCACCAGTACCAAAAGGGCAGATCCTGGCACACAGTGGTGAGTCAAAAATGTCTGATGAACCTACTGAAACCTCTAATCTCTAGGCTTTTATCAATAGATGTCCCCGCAAAATTCACCCCAAATGTGCTCCCTCCTCGGCCTCCACGAATCTCTCAGGGTACTCTCGATGCTTTCCCCTACAGTTTTCCTTCCTCATATCTGCGCCTGGGGCCGAGTTTCCGTAGCAACCATACCAGCAAGTGGGCCCACCCCCACAAGGTTTCTCCTGGGAGGACCGGGACTTTGGCTCCAGCGTTCGTCTCTATGGTTTCGACAGCCTAGAAGGAACGAAACGACACTTCCGGGAAGGTGGCAGCTCGCGAGTGAGATCTGGCACATGTTTCCGCCGAGAGGACACTGCAGTGACGGTAAGGAGCTACTGTCTCCGAAGTTGTGGCCTGGAGCCTGGGCTTAAGAAAGTAGTTTTATCCGAGTTAAACTGCGGCGGGAGGGCTGGAATTTAGACCTCAAAAGGAGGGAGACCTAGGGAAAACGTAGTCGGCGCTTCAGACCCGCTGTAAAAAGAGTGGCTGATAGATCAGAGATAACTTCTGAGAAGAGGCAGAGTTTTGAGGTGGGCTTAAAGACCTCAGTGTTTGAATTTTACTTCTCTCTAGCAGTATCAAGAAACAAGAGAGGGCCATTTCTTCCCCCGATGCTTCTCTGTTGGGAGGTCAGGGTATCAGCTAGGTTTACAGGTGATCGTCCTTCACATTAGAAATGTGAACAGAAATGTGAGTCATTCTGAATTTGCTACTCTTCAAACCTAACTAGACTGGTCATCATTCTTAAGCCTGATATATAATGTTTAGGAGGGGTGACTTAACGATGTATCTGCTATTTTCAAAGCATACTTACTAACCTTCCTAAACTCACATGCAAGTTTTACCTTCAGAGCTGTCACTTTGGGAGGCTGCAGGATTGCTCCAGTAGTTCCATTGATCAGCTTTAAAAATGGTCTTCAGTGTGCCTCTAATAAACGGTCTATAAAAGTTAACTTGAAGGAGTCAAGTCAGTAGTGGTAGTCTTAGTTTCGAATGTCTTGTGTGTATAATAAGACATCTTAACCATTTCAGAGGCAAATTTGGTATATAAGTTCAGTAATACCATTTTGGGGTCCAAATAAAGGAGCAGTGAAATGACTATAAAAAAATGCAACTAGAGCCCTGGCCCGTTTTACTCAGCAGTTAGAGCGTCAGCCTGCGGGCCAGATACACTAGGGGCACGTACTTCGGTTGTGGTTTGTCCCCAGCCCGGTAGGGGTGTGTGGGTGGCAGCCAGTTGATGTGTCTCTCTCACATCGATGTTTCTCTCTCTCTCTTCCTCCCTCTCTATCTGAAGATAAATGCAAAAATGTCCTTGTGTGAGGATTAAAAAAAAAAAATGCAACTAGGTCCTCACTGGTGTGGCTTAGTTGGTTGAGCATCATCTCATGAACTGAAAGGTCTCCAGTTCAATTCCTGGTCAGGGCACATACCCAGATTGTGGGTCCAATCTCCAGTGGGGGTCAGGCAGGAGGCAGCCAATTAGTGTTTCTCTCTCTCTCCCTCCCTCTCTCTTCCTGTCTCTCCAAAATCAATAAAAACATATTTTTTAAAAAAGAAAACATAATTTAAAAAATGTGATTAGTTGGAGACGTGCTAGAAAGAGGGCCACTTTAGAGTCAGGAAACCTGGGCTTATATTCCAGCTCCATCTCTTACTAGCTATGTAACCCCAGGCAAGAAACACGCGCTTTGTTTTACTCATTTATAAAGTAATGATAATAACTAACAGAACTCTCAGGATTAAATGAAACAGTATAATATGAGTAATCCACCTGTTATGCATTAAGTGCTCAATAAGAATGCCCATCCTAAGCTGGACAGTTTCAAGAGGGGTGCTCCAACAAGACTGAAAGACAGTGGCATTAGGGAAGAGGTGTTTAGCCCCCACACCAGTAGGACAGTGTAAATGCTAGGGCCTGAGTAGAGGATATGTCTATTTTTTATTTTTATTTTTTGTGGAGAGATTGTTTTTTTCTTTTTAAGCGTCTTTGTTGTTGAATGTATTACAGATATCTTTTCCTTTTTTTCCCCTGGACACCCTCTTCCTCACTCTCACCACCCTCCTGCCTTCCCTACACTATTGTATGTGTCCATTGGTTATACATATATGCATATAAGTTCTTTGGTTTCTTTCTTCCCACCCCACCTCCGCCCTTCCCTTTGAGGTTCATCAGTCTAACAACCAATTTGTACTTCTTAATCCCTTCATCTTTTTCACCCAACCCCCCTCCCATCTGGCAACCAACAAAAAGTTCTCTGTATCTATGAGTCTGTTTCTGTTCTGCTTGCTCATTTTGTTTGTTGATTCAATTGCTGATAGATATGTATTTATTACCATTTTATTGTTCATATCTTTTATCTTCTTTTTCAAGAAGACCTGTCAACAGTTCATATAATACTGGTTTGGTGGTGATGAACTCCTTTAGCTTTTTCTTGTCTGGGAAACTCTTGATATGGTCATCAATTCTAAATGATAGCTTTGAAGGATAGAGTAATCTTGGTTGTAGGTTCTTGCTTTTCATCACTTTAAATATTTTTTGCCACTCCCTTCTGGCCTGCAAAGTTTCTTTTGAGAAATCAACTGACTGCCTTATAGGAGCTCTGTTGTAGATAACAAACTGCTTTTCTCTTGCTGTTTTTAAGATTCTGTCTTTAACCTTTTGCATTTTGATGATGATGTGTCTTGGTGTGGACCTCTTGGGGTTCATCTAGTTTGGGACTTTCTGTGCTACCTGGACTTGTATATCTATTTCCTTCACCAAGTTAGGGAAGTTTTCTGTCATTATTTTTTCAAATAGGTTTTAAATTTCTTGTTCTCTCTCATCTCTTTCTGGCACTCCCATGATGCGAATGTTGGTACCCTTGAAGTTATCCCACAGGCTCCTTATACTATCCTCATCTTTTTGGCTTCTTTTTTCTTTTTGCTGGTGTTTTTTGCTTCCTTATATTACAAATTGATGGTTGCTTCTTGGCTTTACCTACTCTACTATTGATTCCCTGTAAATTATTCTTTATTTCAGATAGTACATCCTTCATTTCTGACTGGTCCTTTATTATGCTCTTGAGGTCCTCACTAAGTTCCTTAATGTTCTCATGAAGATCCTTGAAACTCTAAGTTCATTGAGCGTCCTTATAAGCAGTGTTTTGAACTCTGCATCTGTTAGATTGCTCATCTCCATTTTCTTTAGTTCTTTTCCTGGAGTTTAGTTCTGTTCTTTCATTTGGGACATGTTTCTTTGTCTCCTCATTTTGGCTGCCTCCCTGTGTTTGTTTCTATGTCGAGTTGCTCTGTCTCCTAGGCTTCATATGATGGCCTGTTGTAGTAGGTGTCCTGTAGGGTCCAGTGGCACAGCCTCCCTGGTCACCCAGCTGGGCCCTCGAGGTGCACCCTTCATATGGACTGTACACCCTTCTGTTGTAATTGAGTCTTGATTTCTATTGGCACATCAATGGGAGGGTTTTACCCAGCCCAAAGAGCTGCAAGGACTGGCTGTGCCCATTAACTACTGACCTCTGACTACCTTGGAGGATCAGCTGTGCAGGGCCCACCACACAGAGCAAGACTTACTTCAGCAGGGCTCTGGTACCCACTGAGTCCATTCCTTGAGTGTGTCACTTGTGGAGGTGGGTGGGTGGTGGTGCTTCAACGTGGTCTGAAGCTGTCTGCTGGGTGTGCTGGCTCTGGGGCAAGGTTAACCACTGCTTGTGTTCTACCCCAGGGCCACCAGGCATAAGCTACAAAGCGATCTGCTGATGGTTGCTTCTTGTGCTGGGCTTGGAGGTGCCCAGGCAAAACCAAGCTGTGTACCAAAGCTGGCTGCTTCTAGTACCAGGCCTGGGGCCACTTAGTGAGAGGTGTGGGGCTTGCTGTGGCTAGATGCTGCTTGTTTGAGAGAATTTAGGAAAACCTGAAGCAGGAGCCAAAACAAGCCAATCCTGTGGTAAAGCCACTGGAAACAGGTTGGGTGGGGCAGGGCCTAAGGGAATCACCAGGGCGGAACAGACAGTGTGAACCAGGTTGCTGGAGTCCCAGATTTGGCGCCTGTCTGCCAGCCTTGTGGGGGAAGGGCTCACCAAAGGAACAACGGCCTCCACCAGTACAGTCGGCCCCGGTGAAAGCTGCCTCTCCAGCCCTCACCCCATGCCAAACAACTCAGTTCTTCCCCTTGTGTCTCTCATGACTTTCAAGCTGCCTCCCCCCATGCTGGAGCCGGGAGGGAGTGAGTCTGAGTAAGTCCGTGCTCAGGCCCGTTAAGAGAAACTGTCTGGGACTCCAGAAGCCTCAGCCTCAACTCCCGCTGGTTTTTACAGCCAGAAGTTATGGGGACTTTTCTTCCTGGCACTGGAAACCTGAGCTGGGTGCCTGGTGTGGGACAGGGACCCTTCAGTCTTCAGGGAGGACCTTCATAGCCAGGGTATCCTGATTTTTATCTGCCACACGTGGGACCATGCCTCCGCCCCGCCTACCAGTCTCAAGGTGGCCTCTACTTTAATTTTGTAGTTGTAGGACTTCCATTCAGCTCGATTTCAGGCGGTTCTGAAGGATGTTTGTTCTGTAGTTTACTTGTAATTTTGATGTGGTTGTGGGAGGAGGTGAGTACAGAGTTTACCTATTCATCATCTTGACCGAAAGTCAGGATATGTCTTTTAAGTACTGTTATAACTCAGGTTAACAAGCATCTCGTTGCTTTGTGTTTTTGTTCTTTGTTGTTGTTGTTGTTGTTAATCTTTACCTGCAGATATTTTCCCATTAATTTTTAGATAGAGTGGGAGGGAGGGAAGGGAGGGAGTGGGGGAGAGAGAGAGAGAAACATTGATGTAAGAGAAATACATCGATTGGTTGCTTCCTGCATGACCCCAACCAGGGCCGGGGATCAAACCTGCAACCCAGGTATGTGCCCTTGATCGGGAATCGAACTTGTGATCCTTTGGTCCACGGGCAGCTGAGCCAAACCAGCCAGGGCTCATTGCTTTGTTTTAACATGGTAATAAACCAAGGGAGATGTTTTCATGTAATGGAGAAGAGTGGGGACTCTGCACACAAACTGCCTGGGTTTGAGTTCTACGTACACACATTAGCTGTGTGACCTTGAGCAAGTCATCTCTTTAGGCCTCAGTTTTCTCATTTATAAAAAAGGGATAATCATACTTTCCTGAATGTAAAGTTCAGGAAATCTTCCCGGGCTGGGAAGATTAAATGATATAATCCATGTGAGACCTTGGCACAGCCTAGCTTGTGGTGAACTCTCTATAACTATAGGTATTATTAATAGCTTTTGACATGTTGACATTGACTTCTCTGGTTAGACAGGGAGCTCCCCAAAGACTAGGCCTCCTTCCTGTCTGTGCTTCAGTTTTAGGAAGGAATTCTTGTAAGAGCAGTCAGGATGGATTTGATGTTCTCTCCTTTTCCTCTTAAAAGGATGATACATGACCTCTTCTCTGCTGAGGACCTGAGGACAGTGACCCTTTTCTCACCATGAGTGTTACCCCAGAGGTCAAGAGTCATGGGATGAAGTTTGCCGAGGAGCAGCTGCTTAAGCATGGATGGACTCCAGGTGATCCCCATGGGGCACCTTCTTCATGACCCCAGTTCCTCTGCCCAGGGGAGGAGCATTATCCTGGATTACCCCCGTGCAGTCTACTCAATTGGAGGAGGAAAAGCTAGCTTAAAGGGAAATCTGCAGAAGAAAATGTCTGATTTCCAGAGAAGGGGGCAAGAGGAAGAAATTTGACAATGGATAGTAAGAAGGAAGCGGTTGGGAGGACTGGGCCTGAGGGAAAGAAACATGACGTCTGTCCTGAAAGAATTACGAAGGAGAAGAGCTGGGTCTCTGATAAAGGCAGGGGGACTGCATGGAGAGGTGCTAGAAAGAAAAGAACTTGCAGGGCTTCTGAGAGGGATAGAGTTTGTCCAGTGCTGGGCATATGGAATGGCAAGGAGTGGCATGTGTTGGGGTGCCTTGTGAGGGCTGGGGCAGGCAGAATAAGCTAAGTCACTCACTGTCTTCTGTAGGCAAAGGCCTGGGCCGGAAGGAGAATGGCATCACCCAGGCCCTCAGGGTGACGCTAAAGCAGGACACTCATGGGGTAAGATTGGACAGGCTGAGGGAGGTGTGGATGGGGGGTAAGGGGGAAACTTTGATTCAGAGTTCATACTTTTTTCTCTGGCAGGTGGGACATGACCCTGCCAAGGACTTCACAAACCACTGGTGGAATGAGCTCTTCAACAAAACTGCAGCCAGCTTGGTAGTAGAAACTAGGCAGGTATGAACTCTAATAGATGGGCACATGAAACATGAGGGCCTGGAACATGCGGAGGTGAGGGAGACATGGTATGTCACCCACTCACTGTTACTTCCCCACAGGATGGAGTACAGATAAGGCGCCTTTCTAAGGAGACCACCCGTCATAATCATCCCAAGCCCAACTTGCTGTATCAAAAGTTTGTGAAGGTATTAGAGGCTGGGGGTGAGAGAGTTCATCTTTTTTTCCTTCCTTGGTTTTCCTTGGGCCTGAACAATTGCTTTGTATGCCCTACATATTCTCAGGATTTTGTCCTAACAAGGTTGGGATCCTGTGACCAACCTTGCTGTTGTTTAATTAGACTGCCCAGACCCTAGGCAAGAGTTGAGATTTCAGGTTAAATGAACCCCTACCATCAGCTGAGGGGCCAGCAAGAGTAGAAGGCAGGACAGTCAGGAACTGCCAGAGTGGGGCAGGGAGGGGATGTCCAATTCAAAGGACTTAGAAGTCAGAGGCCTGAGACATTATCTGATCCATCCTCATTTTGCACATGTGGCCAAAGGATGGGGTGGGGGGTGGGGGGAACTTGCTGAAGAGTTCACAGCTGGCTAGTAATGGCGGACAGGACTAGAACTCAGGTCTTTAGACTTCCACCTACTAGCATACCAAGAGAAGGGGGTTAATATTTAGTGACCACCTATTATGTGCCAAGGGCTCTACTTGGTTATCTAGCAAATCTTTCCCATTTTTCTTCATCTCTATGAGCATCTCCTACCCCAGACCATCATCATCTCCTAATTTCTTTTACAGCCTCATAACCAGACTCATCACTTCTTCTCTCACTCCCACTCCAATCAATTCATCCTCACAAAGCATACACTGTTCTAAAACACAAATTTCTTTGTGTCACTGACACCTCCTTGATTTAGGATGACACAGACCAGATGTATCAGACTGGCTCATAAGGCCCTTCATGCCTTGTCCCTGCTGCCTTCTCTAGCTCTGTCTCTTGCCACTTCTCTTAGGATCTTTACATTTTATTTTATTTTATTTTATTTTTTTGGATCTTTACATTTTAGCTAGATGAAATAAATTTTGGTGTTGTTAATCCTCACCCGAGGATATTTTTCCCTTTATTTTTAGAGAGAGTGAGGGGGTAGAGAGGAAGACACTGATGTGAGAGAGACACATTGATTAGTTGCCTCCTACATGCGCCCCTACCAAGGCCAGGGATCAAACCTGTAACGCAAGTACATGCCCTTGACCTGGAATTGAACCTATGACCCTTTAGTCTGCAGGCAGATGCTCTAAACACTGAGCGAGCAATGCCTGCCAGGGCAAGTCTTTTTTTTTATCCTCACCCAAGGACATTTTTGCATTTATCTTCAGATAGAGTGGGAGGAAGAGAGAGAGAAACATCAATGTGAGAGAGACACATCAACTGGCTGCCACCCATGCAACCCCAACCAGGGCTGGGGACAAACTGCAACCGAGGTACGTGCTCTTAACGGGAACCGAACCCGGGTCTCACAGGTCCGCAGGCCAACACTAACTGCTGAGCCAAACCGGCCAGGGCAAGTCATTATTTTTAAGGTACCATGTTGTTTCACCTTCAAGTTTTTGCACATCCTATTCCCTTTGCTGCTCCCTTTCCTCCTTTACTTGATCTTTTTCCGTCTCTTTCAGAGCTCAGCTACTTCTAGAAACTATTCCCTAAATCCTGAAGTCTGAGCAGGTACCCCTCCTCCAGTACAGACAAACCTTCATAATAATTGCCCGTGTTCTGCCATACTCCCTTGCCCCTCACATGTAGATTCCATCTGGGCTGGACCATTCTCATTCTTATTCTACTCTATCTCCAACCCTTGGCCCATAGTAGGTTCTCAGTCTGGTCAAATAGAGTACTGTGCATATGTGTTGGGGGTGGTGGGGAAAGGTGCCATCTTTATGGTCAGATTCTTGGACCATGGGATGACCACCAGGGGGCACTTGCCACACTGTAAGACCTGATGACCCAGAGTATTTTCTCCTTTCTTGTTCTGCCCACTAGCCAAGGAGACCAGGACTGCCCTCCCCCAACCCTCCACCCTCCCACAGCCCTCCTGCCCAAGTCAAAGTATGCAGTTTGGTGCACCTGTTTGGGTCTGCAAGGAGCAATATTGGGGGCTGGCAAATTTATGCCTATGGGTATGAATTCCTGGGAAGGCTTCCAGGAGGGAAGGAGGATAGCAGTGATGTGTTGAGTGGATCTTGTCCACCTCATGGTCCCTCCTTCTAGACTGCCACACTGACTTCAGGTGGGGAGAAGCCAGACAAGGACTTGGAAAGCTGCAGTGATGACGACAACCAGGGGTCCCAGCCTCCAAAAATGTGAGACTTCATTTTAGTGTTGGGGGGCAGGTAGGAGCAGATGCTGCAGATCTCAAGAGAAAGGACCAAGTCTAAAATGCTTGACTGTGAACTTCTTCAGGGTGGAAATGTATTTCATACTAATCTTTGTATCTTCTGCACCTAGAAAAGTGCAGGTCCTGAACAGGGACTCAGTGTTGAAGGAATATTTTAGAGGGGAGGAGAGGTCAAGCTTTTCCACCAGATGTTTGTAATTCCTGTTCTGTTCCCCCTTCTCCCTCTCCAGTCTGACTGATGAGATGCTGCTCCAAGCCTGTGAGGGGCGAACAGCACACAAGTAAGTAGCGGTTAGCTCCTGGGTCTCCCTTTTCTCTCTATCACAAGCCCACCCCTGAGGGTGGCCTGTACTACTTCTTGACTCTTTTTCGCCCCAGGGAAATGATTCATACTATCTGTGCATCTCTGAAGCTGCTTGCAGATAGCTTCTCCCCTACCAATTTTCCCTGCAGTTTCAAGAATTAGGCCTATTTTTCCTGATATCCTACCTCTGACTGTGGCTCTATTTCAGGGCTGCCCGTCTGGGGATTACGATGAAGGCTAAGCTTGCTCGGTTGGAGGCCCAGGAGCAGGCCTTCCTGGCTCAGCTCAAAGGCCAGGACCCTGGGATCCCTCAACTACAGTCTGAGAGCAAGCCCCTCAAAAGAAAGAAAAAGAAAAGGAAGGAGAAAGAGGCTACAGCAACTGAAAGGAATGCAGACAGGGAGTGCCAAGAACACACTGACCAGAGCATCAGGAAAAGTAAGAAGAAAAGACAACATCAAGAAGAAAAGGTCATAGATATGAGACAGGGGACAACTGTAGGGGACGAGGAAGAGGCAGCAGGAACAGGAGGGCTTGGGGAACTGAAGAGCACAGAAAAAACTGTTCAGCCCCCCAGGAAAAGGAAGAAAAAGAAGAGGCAACATCATGAAGAGGAGAAACTGGAGGTCTTAGATAAAGGCAGAGGTAAGGAGGCTGTAGGTGGTTTCAGAACAGAGGAGGTAGGGAGCCGAGCACACATTGATCCATGTAGCGGAAGCAGGGGGCAGCAGCATGAGGAAGACTTGAATATAGAGGATAAAGAAGTTGAGGAGGTTGTAGATGGTGGGACCAGGGAAGCAGGAAGCAGGACATGTAGTGATAGGAAAAGCAGAAGCAAGAAAAGACAGCGGCGGCATCAAGAGGAAGAGCGTGTCTTGGATATAAGGGATGGACGTGAGAATGGCAGGACTAGGGAAGCGGAGAGCAGAGCACACCCTGGCTCAAGCAGCAGAGGTAAGAAGAAGAGGCAGCAGCAAGCAGAAGAGGAACGAGACAGAGCCAGCACTAAACAGAGAGCAAAAAAGAAACTGGAGAAGAGAGACTGAAGGTCAGATCAGGTCGGGCCTCAATTAGTTTCTTTTCAGTTGTTGAAACTCAGAGACCTGAGTTGATGCAGGTCTCCTGCACTCTCCCAGTGAGGAGTCCTTCTCAAGGAGGAAATTGAGTTCTGCAATACCAGCCTGCTGAGAGGAGAGCAGTAGCACCATGCCTTAGTTGAAGGAGGGAGTGGGTATCTTCCCTTTGCAGCTTCTAGCTCAGAGATCATGAACTCAAGTGCCTACAAGAGTCAGGCAGCCAAGGGACAAGGAGTGTCAGGGGCTGTGGGAATAGGAATGCAGATACCCTTTGAAGGGCATCCTTGCTAAAAGAAGCTGAAGCTGTAGACTTACATGGTTATGTCCTGATTTTTAAATATTGTGAAACTAAGAAAAACACACAAATTTAGGTCTATGAGCTGGTTTCTAACACCATGCCAAATGAGTCAATAAACATCAGCTTGGGCTCCTAAGCCTATATACAAGTCCTGACTAGCATCTCCATTCCCAGTCTGGGAAGGTCCTAAATACAAATTAAGTTTCCTTTGAAGAAATTTCTTCTGTTACCCTCCTGTGGTTTTGCTACATTGTTGAATGGAAGGGAAAAGCTTACAGAAAGAACCTCATTCAGTGTCTTGTCTCTGTCCCTAATGTGTAAGAATCACATGTGTATAAAGAACAAGTACATGTCACTTGGGAGACTTTTGTAGCATATGAAAGTAAGTTTTTATTGCCCTCAAATGCCACAGCAACCTCTCTTGCTTCTTGTGCTTCCCCAGAGATGACACCGTATCTCAGATGCCTACCACCCATTAAGTTTTACTGCCAGAAGAGCTCTCAGGTCTCCACAGTTCTGAGAGAGGCACTAAGTCTTTATGGGGAAGAACACCACCCACCTTCCCTCACTGCAAACGATACACACACTCAGTATCCGGGTATGATGGCAGATTGAGCTGGTACTTCTTTTCCAGAGCAGGTGGTACAAAACGACCCCCCAGGTAGTGGTATCGACCGGTAAACTGGGTGGCAGACTTTTTGGGTGCAGTCAGGGAGATGAGCAAGTCTGGCTGGATCCCTCCAGGGTTTCCCTTCTCCACATCCCATCCTGAAAAAGAGGGTTGTATTCAGGAAGAGCAGAAGAGGCCAGATGTCTAGTCCTCTTCCAAACCTTGTTCTACCGTAGTCCTAAAGGAAAGGGAAGCCCCCTGCATCCAAACCTGAGTAATTCATGCACCCTGGACTTTGGTTTCTTGGAGCCAACATGTGAAGGGTGCTCCTGAATTCTTTGCTTCCCGGCTATGTTCTGCATCTCGGCTCATTTTACTATTTTTTTTATCCTCACCCGAGGACGCTTTTCCATTTTTTTTTTTTGTTCAGATGGGGGGGGAGGGAGAGAGAGAAACATCGACATAAAAGGGACACATCGAGTGGCTGCCTCCTGCACAACCCCAACTGGGGCCGGGGACAAACTGCAACCGAGGTACATGCCCTTAGCGGAAACTGAACCTGAGTCTCTCTGGACCGCGGGCCGACGCTATAACCACTGAACCAAACCAGCCAGGGTACCTCGACTCATTTTAGACTTGGTCTGAGCCTTAGGTCAAGAATCAGGACTCCTAGGTACCTACCTCAAGACAGGGCAGGACCCCACTCCCAACCTCCTTGGACCCAGAACCTGAGGGAATGTCGATGCTGGCAATGGGCACAGTGACTCCATTCAGGATACTCAGGATTGTACGGAATGGTTCCCGAACATCACCCTTGAAGCTGAAGCCAAAGATGGCATCCACCACCAGATCATATAGCTCATCGATCAGCATGGGCTATGGTGGAACAGGAAAGGTAAAGGATGTCAGGGCCAGCGTCTACACAAAGAGCTCTTAACAGGAGAGAGCTGTTCTCTGCACCCACAGGGCATTCACAGAGGCACAAATATAATTCTGTCTCATTCAGATGGCATTCTGAGGTCTAGAGTTAAATGCAAGTTGGTCCCTGATTCAGGCCAATTTGAGTCCAGACACCGAGTTTTGCCTGCCTGCCATTGGGGAGGCTACAGCATGGGAAAGCCTGAGACTGGGAGTCAGAAGGGCCAGGTTCTGGTCTCAGCTTTGCCAAGATCTGGTCTGTGATTTTGGAAAAACCACTTTCCTTTGCTGTACCTCAGTCTCTTCATCTGTAAAATGTGTCAAATTTCTAAAAAACCCACCAAGCTCTCAAGTTTCCCACCCTAAATCTATGCATCTGTAGAATGGGTTTTAGGCATTCACTTCAGCTCCTAAGATGTTTTTCTTGCATCCTAGGGGCAAAGAAATGACTACAGAGTGAACGGAGTGACCTGGGTAGATGAAGGGTTGAAAGGAAGCTTTATATATTAAATGTTTTTACTGATTTTAGAGAGAAGGGAAAGGGGAAGAGAGAGTGAAACATCAATTGGCTGCCCCCTGCACGCCCTCTATTGGGGATCCAGGAACTCAGGCATGTGCCCTGACTAGGAAATGAACCTGCGACTTTTGGAAAGGATATTCAACCAACTGAACCACAACGGCCAGGGCAAGAGGAAAGGAAGCTTTAGAGGTGGTGCTGGGAACTCATAGAGCACACCTTATGAAGGAGAAGGCTCTTATGCTGCTTCTATTCAAATAGCATGCTTTAGGCACCTTCAGTGACAAGCACTATTATTATTAATGTTTTTATTGATTTTTTAAAGAAGGGACAGAGAGGTAGAAACATCAATGTGAGAGGAACATACCGGCAGAGCCAGGCACTATTCTTACCCTCTAAGGTCTAGTCTAGAGAAAGATAAACAAATGGGCTCAGCCTAGAAACCTGAGGGAAGAGCAGAATACAGTGGTTATTGTGGCGGAGGTTGCTGAACTGGAGCCACCTACCTCTGGGGGCATTTCACCAAGGAAAGGGATGTCCATTTTTTGACATTGGGTCACCAGTGCGTTGAAGAGTGGCTTGTTAGGTCTTTTGGGGTAGTAGATGGTTGGCTGGTAGCCCTGTGAGGAAAGGAAATGGGATAAATCATATTCAGATCCTAGAAACCTCACAGCCTCCCCACAGCCCTTCACATACTCACAAAGAGCTTGAGGTGTCGGGCACAGACCAGGCCATCTCCTCCATTATTTCCAGGGCCACAGATGACCAGGACAGTGGCGGGGCTCCTGGACATTGACGTGGGGGGATATGCCTGAAGGTATAGTCAGGGAATTCAGAGCAGCTTTGGGTGGTAACAGCTCAAACTTGGTCTAGCTGTCCCTCCCACTTCACTGTGCAATGGCCAGAGGACCAGGTCGAGAGTTATGCCACTGACCTTAGCAATGGCTGTAGCACAGCTCAGCCCAGCCAGCTCCATAAGTTGGTCCACGCTGAACTGGTATTCGTTAAACAGCTCCTCGTCCACGGCCTGAGCCTCCTCCTGGCTGAGCAAACCCTCTGCTCAGCTCGGTCGCGCGGGTGGCACAACGTCCCAAATCCCACTGTAGGGAGAGCCATCCGCCCAAGGCCTGCGCCCGGCCCCCGACCGAAGCCCCGCCTACCTCAAGTACCTCACCGCCGTGCTCGCCATGACCTCTGGGTCCCCGCGGCCACCCGAGCTCAGCCTCTGTGGCCCCCACCAGGTGGGTCCCACACGACAGGCATGGGCCTGGAGTCTGGCACGTGGCAGGCGCGAGCTCGCCACCAGCAGCCCGAGCCCGAATAGAGACCGCAGCGCGCGCATTCAGCTCGCGGGGTGCGCGCCTCCGGCCGACCCGGCTGCCCTGGCGCATGCGTATCGCTTCGTCCCGCCCCCGAGAGGCCGGCGAGGGGGCCGTCGCCCGGAAGCGCTTCTCCTTGCGCGCTTTGCTGTGCGCACGGTTCGAGTTTAGCGTAGTAGTTAGCCCAGGTTCCTGCCGTACTACTGACCAGCGGAGAGAATTTGGACCCTCCAGGTTTCAGTTTCCCGTCTATAAAGTGGGATAAGAGTACATTTTATTGGGTGGTAACGCATGCAAAGCGTCGACGGGAACGGGTACGTAGGGCTCAATAAATTAAGCTAGTGTTCTCATGTACTCTACTAAGCGTTTTATATAATTTAGCTCCCCGAGCTCTGTTTACCACAATAACACAGTGTACTTCCTAATAATATAGAATACTTACCTCGTTATCAAGATAATAGTAATAGGAACTAGGTTGAGTATGCCTTTGTCAAAAATGTTGAAACCATAGACTCCAGGTCACGATACTATTTCAAAAAAAAATCTGGAGAGGAAAATTAAATTTTTTACCCAAGAACTTTTAAGTATTTACCCAAATACTCTCTTGCATGGTTAAGGGAGAAGTCTGTGGAATAACAAATCAGTTACCATTAAGGCACTAGGATAATTATCCAGGTGGAAAGAAGGTCGTTTTAAAGCTAGATTTATTCTTTTTCTGTATCATGAATTGCTTTCCTGGCTAGTTCACTGTGAAAAGCAAAATTTAATTTCTTTGATAATCTTATTAATTATAAGATTTATCATCCATGGGATTTACATTGGTCTCCAGCTATGCTTGTGTTTTTTTTGTTTGTTTGTTTTTTATTTTATTTTATTTTTTTTATCCTCACCCGAGGATATTTTTCCATTTTTTGTTAAGGTAGAGTGGGAGGGAGAGAGAGGAACAGAGAGAGGGAGAGAGAAACATCGATGTGAAAGGAACACATCGAGTGGCTGCCACCCGCACAACCAACCAGGGCCAGGGACAAACTGCAACTGAGGTACATGCCCTTAGCGGGAACCGAACCCGGGTCTCTCTGTACCACAGGCCGACGCTCCAACCGCTGAGCCAAACTGGCCAGGGCTTAAACCTATATTTTTATCCTTATGTTATCGATGAGGAAATTGAATGGCAGAGACAAGTCAAGTAATTTTCCTAAGATAATACAGCTATTAAATGGTAGAGCCAGTGATGTTTGAGATTGAATTGGCAATACTCCTGGGTGGCGGACGCTGCTACTTGTACCACAAAATCCGTTCTCTGTTTTTCCTTTGGTAACAGGAAAAACCCCTGAGATTTACCTGGCCACATAGATGCCCATCTAAACACTACATTTTCCAGTCTTCCTTGCACTAACCATGCACATGTAACTAAATTCTGACCAGTGAGATTTGAGTAAAAATGATAAATGTAACTGGTAGGTCATACCCTTAAAAAAAAAGAATGTTTTCTTCCACTTCCTCTTTTCTTCTGACTGGCTGGAAGGAAGGTATTATGCTGGAGCTGAAGTAGCCATTTAGGCTATGAGATTGAAATCCCAGGTTGAGGATGGCAGAGCATCCTGTCTGGCTCCCCAAACTCCAGAGAGCCACTATATTAGTCCTCTGCTACTTATATGAGACAGAGTTCTCTCTGGATAAAGGCACTGTTACATTAGCTTTTGTTATAGTTGGTGAACCTGCATCCTAATAAAGACATCTTGAATGCCTAACAAGATAACATACTCCATTTACATCAGAAAGATTAACAACATCTACTTCTGTGCCTGGCACGTAGTAGGTCCTCTACAAATATTTTAATGAATACTGAAAATTTCATTGTGAAGTAGTTCACAGTATAGTAGAAGCCCTCTTTGTGGCTTGATGCTTTGTGACATGATCAGGGGTGGGTTATCTTATTTCAACTTAAAACAAAAAAATACATTCACTTGCCATCTGTCAAAGTGTGTCCAGGTTCTTTACTTTATAGTTGTTAGTTATTGATTGATTTTAGAAAGAGCCCTGGCTGGTTTGGCTCTGTGGTTAGAGCATCAGCCTGTGGACCAAAGAGTCACAGTTCGATTCTAGGTCAAGGGCACGTACCTGGGCTGAAGGTCCAATCCCTGCATGTGCAGGAGGCAACCAATTGATGTGCCTGTCTCACATTGATGTTTCTCTCTTTCTCTCCCCATCCCTCTCTCCCTCCTTTCCACTCTCTCTAGAAAGCAATGGAAAAAATATCCTCAGGTGAGGACTAGCAACAGCAACAACAAAAAATATGGCATGCTTAAAGCAATCTGAATGCAAAATTCATCTAGATTTTTATGATTTCCCCTAATATGTAATAATCTCCTTGCTCAAATCTAATTCAACAACATTTTTTCAAAATGGTTTTATTGATTTTAGAGTGAGGAAGGGAGAGGGAGAAAGTGAAACATCAATCAGTTGCCTTCTGCATGTCCCTACTGAGGATCGAGCACACAACCTGGGCACGTGCCCTGACTAGGAATTGAACTGGGACCTCTCAGTTCATGGGACGACACTCAATCCACTGAGCCACACCAGCCAGCCTTTTCACTGATTTTTAAAGCTAGTGGAAAGAAGGAAAGGGAGGGAGGGAGACAGAAATACAGATGTGAGAGAGACACATCGATTAGTTGCCTCCTGTACAACCCCGGCCAGGGCCAGGGATCAAACTTACAACCCAGGTACATGCCCTTGACTGGGAATCAAACCTGAGCCCCTATGTCTGAGGGCAGATGCTCTAACAGCTAAGTCAAACCAACCAGGGTAGGGCAACTTTTTTTTTAATCCTTACCCGAGGATATTTTTTTAAATACCTTCAGGTAGAGTGGGAGGAGGGGGGAGAGAGAGAGAAAAAAACATTGATTTGAGAGAGACACATCAATTGGCTGCTTCCCGCATGACCCCAACCAGCCAACCAGGGCTGGGATGATCTGCAACCGAGGTATGTGCCCTTGTTCGGAATTGAACCTGCAACTCTAGTCTGCAGGCTCACACTCCAACTGCTGAGCCAAACTGGCCAGGGCAGGGCAACAATTTTTATTTTATTTTATTTTTAAACATGGTGGGTTTTGTTTTTTAATTTTTTTTTTTCTTTATTGATTTTAGAGAGAGAGGAAGGGAGAAGGAGAGATAGAAACATTGATGAGAGAGAACATTGATTGGCCACCTCTTGCATGCCCCTCACTAGGGATTGTGCCCACAACCTGGGCATGTGCCCTGACTGGGATTCAAACCGGCAACCTCTTGGTGCATGGGTCGATGCTCAACCAGGGAGCTACACTGTCCGGGTGAGGGCAACAATTTTTAAAGTTACTCAACCTTAAGTCAAGTTTTCTAAGGATTCAACTTTGTTTCCACAGAAACAGTGCTTGTTTTCACACTCTTGGCTCTCAATTTATATAATATTTAATTAAATTACAAATTACAATAACACATACAACCAGCATAAATACATTTGGTGTCAAGCACAACCAACACTTGGTAAACAATGGCTTATCTGGGGGAGTGGAACTGCCCAGCATCACAGAAGAAGGGACTCACGGCCTAGGTTAGAATCACGGCTTCTCCACTTACTAGTTGTGTGCCCTCTTTTCCTCATTTGTTAAAGGGGATCCACCTGAGAAAATACTTGTGACCAAGAAACTTAACGTCACTGTTGTGGCTGCTGGCGCAGGTGTCCTACAGGCTCCAAGTTCTGGGGCCTACATCCAGCCTCTGCTGTTTCATGTAGGAAGTGGAGTGCATCGGTTGGTTAAGATGTATCTTCTATAGTACTTATTTTTTTTTTGTTGATCCTCACCTGAGAATATTTTTTCATTGATTTTTAGAGTGGAAGGGAGGGAGGGAGAGAGAGATACATCAATCAGTTGCCTCCCATGCAATGCCAACCAGAGCCAGGGATCGAACCTGCAACCCAGGTGCACACCCTTGACCGGGAATTGAACCTGCGACCCTCCAGCTGATGCTCTAACCGCTGAGCCAAACCAGCCAGGGCACCTTCTGTAGTATTATAATCCCATTTCCCACATGAGAAAGTGGAAGTCTGAAGAGAAGAGAGTCACTGACTCCAAAGCCTCTTGGCCAAGAAGTCATAGCTTTTAGAACTGGAAAGGGCCTTAGTGATCATGGTGTTTGGATCCAGAAAGAAAAGGGGGAGATTCACCATCCATTTTCCTCTTCCCTTTTGCCTGTTGAGTCCAAAAATCCCAGCAAGCAGCAAACAGCTTCAGTGCTGAGACTGCAAAGCCTTTGTCCAGCCTGCTCGGGAGCCCACTTGCTGGCTGTGTTGTATTTCGTGTCTGTACAGCACTGAACAACTGGGAGGAGGTTTGGTCCCAGAAACCCCTGGAGTGTGTTTATTAGGGAGGTACTGCTGAGGCCAGCAGGGTGGGGTCACATGATCCTGCAGAAGCCAGATGTGGTGGGTCTCCTCTGTGGGTCCCTGCTGGAGGTTTCCCTGAGCTGTTTGAATGACCTAAAGGAGGCAGGGCAGAGCTTGCCAGTGGGAGTGGCTATGGAAAGAGCAGAAGCAGCCTGCTCTGGCTCCAGCATCTGCTGCCCTCCCTGGCCCTTACCTCTGCTGGTGGGCTGCAGAGCAGCAGGGTGGATCCCCCCATTCAGCGGGACTCTCCCTTTCTCTGAGGTCTCCAGTCAGGCTGTGCAGGAAGTGGGGGGTATGCCAGGCCTCCTGAGCTGGGTGATGATTGTTCAGATGACAACTGGACAAAGAGGCTCAGAGCACTGTATATTCCCAAGCACCAGACCACATCGTCCCCAACTTTAACGGCGATCATGTTCCATTACAACAGTCCCAAGTAACATCCCCCCTATTCCCTTTATCCATTCTCCAGGTCTCTTTCCCTCCCCTAGGGACCCACCCATTAGCTTAGGGGCACTGGGTACCAGAATGCCAGGGTACTCCATGCTGGGGTGGCCTTGGCCTCCAAATGGGAGATGGGCCCTAAGTCTAGAACCTGGATGGAGAGGGACAGACACATTCATTGTAGGCCTCTCTGAACCAAGAACCATCACAGTGGAAAAGAACACTTTAGGGGAACAAGGTGAATGGGTGTCAGGGAACGTGTTGGTCACTGTACATGAAGGGTGCACCAAGGACTATGCCCTGTTTGGGATAGGTGATTGACAAGCCTGGGCCACCTAGTAGCTAGATGTGGGAATGATCTGCCAGTGCCTGGAAGGAAACATACTGAAAAGAAGATACGTATCAGTGAATTCGAGTCAACAAACAGCAAGGAACTCTGCTGTCAGAGTTGGAAGCCTTTGAAGAAAGAGACTGTCAACGGCAGGCTAGTGTAAGAAAAGCACCAGTACCTGGCACCTAGTAGGCTCCCAACAAGCCCTGGTGCTCTGAGATGCAGTTCTAGAAGTTAGGAAGGCTGTGGAAGCAAGGAGGAAGAGGTGATTTCAGAAAGGGTTTGGGAAAATGGGACAGGGTCTTGAGAGAAGAGTAGAAATGGGGGTAGGGCTGGTTTGGGGCATTAGACCTGGGGTGGGGAAAGGGGGCAATAAGAGGAATGAAGGGAGGGCTCCCCTCAGCCAGACAGCCTACATCTCCTCACACTCCAGTCCCTGCACAAGCCGACCATCACAGGGAACTTTCATGAAGCCTCTTCCTCTTTCTCCTCATGGCCCTTCTCTAACTCTTTCTCTTCCCACCCAAAGATCTATATGGGCAGGGAACAGGGGGAAGAGTGGTACGCAGACAGGTCCCCTTCTCCCTGGGGCACCTATGAGGTCCCATCCCCCACTCCCCGTAGCACTGCAGCAATACCTCCCAACAGCCCCTAGAGGCCACATCCCTCCCAGAAGCTCCACCTCACCCCACTCACCTGTGCTTTGCTTCTGCTGGGCTCCTTCCCAAGCTGGCTGGAGTACCTGCTGGGCAGGCCCCCCCTGGAGTCTGAGGCCCCCCTGGAGCTGAGGTCTGGGAATGAAGAGGAGTAAAGGGAATCAGTTTCAGAAAAATGGCTGTGATGTGCACATGAGTGTATGTTCCCTCCAGATACACAGCCCCAGGGAGACAGAGAAGCCCAGAGCATACTAGGCTGTGCCACGTGTCTGAGAATAAAATTTCAGGGTGAGGCCCTTTGTTCTGTTAAGGCCCCAGTAGTAACTACCAACTGAGTCACTCCAGCTGGGAAAGTTGATTTAATTTTGCTTGCAAATTATAAATAGGATGTCCTAGTCTTTAAAATAAGAGACATAAAACCTATTAAATAAATATAAATACTAAAGTATAACTTCAGTTCCTGGGAGGGAGGTTCCTGAGGGTATCTCCGCCGGTGAGAAAGAAGGCAGTTGGAGAGGCATCAACCTGTTGAGAGAGGCTGGGAGGTGGTGAGAGGAGCCAGAGGAGGAGAGTGGTGGAGAACCACAGAGAAATGCCCCCAGATAACCAGAGATGGGAGAGAGGGGTTTCCTTGGAGCACGGTCTCCATCATGTGGCCACTTTGGGAACTGCAGCCAAGGACTTAAAACTCCCCCTCCTTTTTGATGTGTCTCAGTGTCCTTAATTGCACCCCCTAGGCCTTCACCCACTAAACTAGTTACCACTCAGCCAAGGCCCTGGCATAGCCCTAGTGTTGGACATGTGCCACGATTCCCTGCCCACCTCACACCCCCAGGTGGTCTTGGGAAAGTGATACATGTACCTTATGCTGGCCCAGGGGCAGATGAACACAGAAGAGCAGTCAGGCGTAGCATCCTGAGAACGTCAGCTCTGCTTACCTCTACTTCTCCCCTCTCCAAGTGACCTCTCCCCATCCCCACCTCCTTGTCTCAGGTGTCATCTCACCAGGGTTTGAGGCAGGTTTGGTCCACCCTGGGCCAAGTGGATCCTCATGGCATCTGCCAGCTTGGCCACCAGCCGCTCTCGCACAAAATCTGGCTCCTTCTGGGGAGAGGGAGGATAATGGAGTGATGTGGAAGGCCTAGGCCTTGTGGTTCTCTGGGAATTGGGGAAGAAATAAATAGGAAAGGGAGGAAGGCCCAGCCAGTGTGGCTCAGTGGTTGAGCATCAGCCCATGCACCAAGAGGTTGCTGGTTCGATTCCCGCTCAGGGCACATGCCCAGGTTGTGGGCCCGATCCCCAGTGGGGGGCATGCAGGAGGTAGCCAATATATGTTCTCTCTCATTGATGTTTCTCTCTCCCTCTCCCTCCCTCTCTCTAAAAATCAATAAAGAAAAAAAATTTTTTTTAAAGAGAGAAGGAAGACAATTTTTTTCCCTTTATTTTTAGAGAGAGAGAGGAAGGGAGAGGAAGAGAGAGATAGAAACATCAATGAGAGAGAACATCGATTGGCTGCCTCCTGCACGTCCCCCACTGGGGATCAGGCCCACAACCTGGGCACGTGCCCTGAGTGGGAATCGAACTGGCAACCTCTTGGTGCGTGGGTCCACGCTCAACCACTGAGCCACGCTGGCTGGGCTATCTTCCTTCTCTTTTGTGCCAGTCCCATGCCTTTGCCAGAGTCCTGCCCCGAATTGTGGGCAGAGACGAACTCTTCCTCACAATAGCGTCCCAAGACCTGGCACACAGTGCCTAGTGCATGTTTGATGAGTGAATGAATGATGCAGAGAAGACAAGACGTGAAGGACTGTTAGCCAGAGAAGGCTTTCTGGAGGGCTAACAGGAAGAGTTAGATTCTGGGATGGAGGGTCTTACCTGACACTGGGCCAGCGCTTCCTTATAGTACTTCAAGGCCTGATCATGCTGCCCCAGTCTGGCTGCAGCAGCCCCCAGACCCTCACAGGCTTGCCACTGCCCCTTCAGGTCCCCTAGGGAAGAGAGCCTGAGAGGTCTTTTTATGGCTCCTACCTCACCAACCCTCCCCTCCAGAGGTACTCCCCACCCCCAACCGGCCTCCCCACCAGCCCCAAGGACTCAGCCTTTGGTCCACCCCCCTCCCCCAAGCCACCTACTAACCCCCTCACCCTCACCAGTGTCCTGGGCAGCCTGCAGAGCATGTAGGTAGTTGTCTCTGGCAGCCTTGTGGTCCCCCAGCTGGCTCAGCGCAAATGCCAGGCTGCCAAAGCTCCGGCCCTGCTCCCACCGTTGCCCCACAGAGCCTGATGACAGAGCCCACCCAATTCTAAGAAGGGACCTTGGCTGCTGGGGTATCAGGACCCTACCCCCCAACAACCAAGAGTACGCCTCCGGATGTACCACAAAGGCCCACATTTTTGATACCTATATTCAGTCTCTCCTCAGTCCTGAGTTTTGGCCTGAAAGCCTCCCCCTGGCTATTCAGAGCCATGCAACAATCTTGTGAGGCAGGCAAGGCAGGTGTTAATAGCTCTTCCTTTTGCCCATTGCTGCCTTCCCAGCCCTAGGCCTCAGCCTTTGGGCCCGCACTCCTCTATCATATCTGGCTACCCCATCTCCTACATCCCCAGTCCTCACTCCCTGGTTCTGGGCTTCCTGACCCATAATTAGGTCCATTCCCTTTTCAGCCGTTAATCCTGCTGGTACCCCCTTAGTCCCTTAGTCTCAATCCCATGCCCAGCCCTGGTACTCACCATGCAGGTCAGCAGCCTTCTGGTGAAATTCCCGGGCTTCCTGATAGTTGCCAAGGGCATTGTGGGCCATCCCAAGGTTTCTCAGCACTGTGGCCTCCTCTCCCGGCCCTCGGCACAAGGGCAAGGCCTGCAGGAAGGCCTCTGCTGCTAGCGGGAACAGCTGGAGCTGGGAGTAGCCCAGGCCTAGGTCATTATAGAGTTGCCCTAGAGGGCAAGGCCAGGGTCACTGGGTGGGATGTAACTGAGGCTCTCCTGGTCTAGCCCGTGTCCCACTCTCAAAGGGTCCCCTTCCTCAGCCCTCAGGAATACCTCTGCTTCCACCCCACCTCTCAGAGTATCACCAGGTCAGAAAGTGCCCAGATCCCACACTTCTCTGACCAAAGGCCTCACCAAGCAGTCCCCGCTCAGTGCTCATCTCGGCAAGCTTCCGGCTCTTCTCCAGCACCTGCACCATTTCACCCACGCCATGCTGCCCACTCTTCAGCATACACCCTGCCGCAGCCCCCAGCGCCAGGGCTGCAGCCTGGGGCTGCCCTGCTTGAGCATAGGCCTGGCTTGCTTCCTGCAAGCAGTCGGCTGCCAGCTCAGGCTGTCCCAGAGCCTGGTAGCAGGCTCCCATTTTTGCCTGGGCTTGCCCCTGGTCACCTAGTGATTGATAGTGGCCCAGGGCCCTGTGGTACCAGGCCAAAGCTTGAGGCAGGTTGCCCAGGGCATGATAGGCCAAAGCCACATTGAAACACTGGTCACCATGACACCTGCCCTGCGACTTCTTTTCAGGTTGGGCTCTGAGTAGCAGCTCCAGGCCTCTGGCTGGGTCCCCAGTCTCCACGTAGGCAGCCCCCAGGTTGAAGGCACAGGCCCGGAGAATGGGAGTGTCCCTGTTTTGTGAGGTCTTAGAGGCCAGGAGGAAGGCCCTCTGGAAGTTGGTCAAGGCCTCATGGTTCTGGCCAGCCAGTAGGGCCCCATGGCCAGCCCTGGTGAAGGCTTGGATGCTGGCCTCTTGCTGTTGCCACTTTCTTTTCTTCTTTTTCTTCTTGGAGCTTGAGGGCTCAGCCTCCTGTGGGATATCCTCAGGGTTGGGGGAAGACATAGTACTGATAATGGAAAGCACAGGGTTCAATATGTCACCCTCTGCTTCCTCCAAAGCAGGATCCCTCTAGGGCACCGATTTTCAACCTTTTTCATTTCATGGCACACACAAACTAATTACTAACATTCTGTGGCACACCAAAAAAATGTATTTTTGCCAATCTGACAAATTTAAAAAAGCAGCACGATTTTGATTAATTTAAAACAGATGGCTATTGTTGTATTGGCTGCTGTCATTGTTTTATTTGACAATCTAAGGAAAAGAGATCGGTACCTCTGACTCAACAGTCAGGTATTGCATGTTTTAAAAGTTCTTGCTGCACACTGGTTGAAAATCGCTGCTCTAGCCCTGGCCGGTTTGGCTCAGCGGTTAGAGCGTTGGCCTGCGGTCTGGAGAGACCCGGGTTCGGTTCCCGCTAAGGGCACGTACTTCGGTTGCAGTTTGTCCCCGGCCCTGGTTGGTCGTGCGGGTGGCAGCCACTCGATGTGTCCCTTTCACATCGATGTTTCTCTCTCTCTCTCTCTCTCTTCCTCTCTCTCCCTCCCACTCTATCTGTACAAAAAATGGAAAAATATCCTTGGGTGAGGATTAAAAAAAAAAAGAAAATCGCTGCTCTAGGGCAATTCAGCTCTATCCCTGCCCTGGTGTGAACGCCAGGGTCTCAGGAATTTCTCTCTGCCGTCTTACTTTGCTTCATCTATCTCACTGGGCACCATAACAACTCACTCTAATGTCCTAATTCTTAGTCCTCCTTCAAGACTCAGTCCAAGTAAAAGCTTCATTCAGAAAGTCCCCTCCCCTTAACCAACTGGGTCCTTCTGTACTCCCATAGCACCTTATGTCTTTTGTGGCATTTCTCACACTGGGCTAGAGTTGTTAACTTTCTTGTCTATCTCCCCTATTAGATTTGGACAACTTAGTAGATTCTCAATTAATATTTATCACATGAGATAAAAGGTTATGAAGATGGATGGTCTGACGGTGGCACAATAATATGAGTATACTTAATGCCACTTAAAATAGTTTAAAACTATAAATTTTATGTTATAGCCAGGCTGGTGTGGCTCAGTGGATTGAGTGTCATCCCAAGACGCTGGTCACTGGTTTGATTCCTGGTCAGGGCACATGTCCATGTTGCTTGATCCCCAGTAGGGGGTGTGCAGGAGGCAGCCAATAGATGTTTTTCTCTCAGTGATGTTTCTATCTCTCTCCCCCTCTCCCTTCCTCTCTATCTAAAAATCAATTTTTAAAAAAGCATATTAAAAAAAGAGTGTTGTTTAAAATTTTTTTACGTTATATATATTTTACTATCATAAAAATGTTTATTGCCCTGGCCGGTTTGGCTTCAGCGGTTGGAGTGTTGGCCTGTGGACCAGAGAGTCCCGGGTTCGGTTCCTGCTAGGGGCATGTAATAACAACAACAACAAAAAAAATGTTTATTGAATGAATAAATGAATAGATGAATGAACTGAGTACATACAGGGCCTCTCCTCTTCACCCTGTGCCTCCACATACAGCTATCCACTCATAATCTAGGTGTTCTTGCTGTCTAATCTCAAGACATGGTTCAAGTCCGTTTAACAAGTACTCAGTGAGCGCCTGCTCTGTGCCAGGAGCCATAAAAGGCACTGGGGTCACAAAGCTGAAGAAGCTATTGAATTGGCAAGGAGCCAACTTCCAGGAGTGAAGATTCTGTCTCTCTATCCCCACCCCAACACACACACTCCCTATCTCAAGAGGAACTTCTTTCTCTCCTATTTCCTTGGCTTCTGTCTGCTGGCTAGTTTCAGTCCCCCAATATCCTGCTCTGGTCTCTAGTGCTTTTAAATCCAAAAAACGTTTCTCTCATTAGCATGTGTTTCCCCTTAGTATCTCTCCCCTAGAAAGGCAGAGCTTTTCATGAACGCTCCTCCTAGGAGACAGGAAAAGAGTGGAAAAGACCCAGGCTCTGAGCTCTCAGCCCCTCCCCACTTCCCTCCCATCCCCTTTCCCAAGTTTTAGAAGTAGGCAGAGGTGTTACATTCTCTTTTAAAAGAAATTTCCACTGCTCCTAAGAACACCTAGGAAGTCTGCCTCTTCAAGGCCTTCATCCCTGGGACATTCCTGGCTACTCCTACCAGGTTTTGGAGCCCCAGCCATAGGAAGCCTTACCTCTTTTGATCTCCGATCTCCGATCTACTACGAAGCTGGCTTTCTGGAATGGTTCCTCTGTCTTGGGTTACCTCCCCTCGCTCCTTGCTCAGAACCCCCCCTCCCATGTTACTAGACAACCAGGTACCACCTTCCACTCCTAGGGAATTCTTTGATTGACAGCTCAGGTGCCCTATCTTAGTGCTTAACCCTGCTGGTGCTTGGGCACAGACACTTGAATTTCATTGTCCTTCCTGTCCCACCTCTCTCCACACCTGCAGACACACCCCTCAAGTCCCTCACTAGAAGCAATGAATCAAAGCATCATGGGCTTGTTACTAGTTACAACTTCAAAGACCATCTATCCCATACCCTCATTTCATAGAGGAGACCAGGCTCAGAGAGCAGGTGTGACTTGTCTGAGGCCACAGAGCAGTCATGCAGTTGGGATTAGACTCCAGGTTTTCTGATTCTGGGCTAATTAGAGGTAGGTTCTCCCAGCTGCCTGCAGCTTCTGCCCCAGGCTGGGCCTTCCAGAGCTATCACAGCCTGGCCAGGACCATATATGCAGCTCAGTCTGTTGTTGACTCCGCAGGCAGAGGACTGAAACTGCTCTCACCAAGGTTCTTAGAGACCTCTGAATGATCTAGTGATTATTTTCTTGAATCATTTTGTTTGATTTCCTGCTCTATCTGACATATCCTTGTAACGCTCCCCTTACTTGGCTTCTATGTCCCATGTGTCCTGGCTCTCTTTCTTCTGCTCTGACAACTTCTCTGTCTCCTTTTCTGGACCCGCTGTCCATCTCTTGAATGCTAGTGTTCCCCAACATGCTGCCCTTTGCTCTTTTCTTGTTTTCACATAACCTTCCATGAACATTTCACTCACCCCTCTGATTTTAACATCACTGATAAGCTAATAATTTCTAAATGTATACATCTAGACTTAGTTTGTCCAAGCAAAATTCCTAGTTCCTCAAATCTACCCATTCTATGTTCCCAGTCTTAGTAGGTAAACCATCAACCCAGTCTCTAAGCTGGAAACCTGGTAGACATCCATGACTCCCCCCTCTCCTCCAGCTCTCAATCCTACTGGTTCTACTTCTGAAACCCCTCTCCAGTGTACCCTCTCCTCTGCAGTCTCATGGCCATAGCCTTGGAAGTGGTATAGTATACAGTGATTAAGTAAACTCAAGCTTGGAGGCCCTGGCTGGGTAGCTCAGTAACTTAGTGTATGGTCCCAATACACCAAGGTTGTGGGTTCAATCCCCGGTCAGGGCACATACAAGAGAATCAACCAATGAATTTATAAATAAGTGGAACAACAAATCGATGTTTCTCTCTTTCTAAAAATCAATAAATAAAAATAAAAGTAAATGGCTCTGGTCGGTTTGGCTCAGCAGTTAGAGCATCAGCCCTGGGATGAAAGGTTGAGGGTTCGATTCTGGGTCAAGGGCATACACCTGGGTTTCAGGTTCCATCCCCGTTCGGGAGGCAACCAATCGATGCTCTCACATCGATGTTTCTCACTCTGCCTCTCTCTGCCTCTCTTCCATTCTATCTAATAAGTAAATAAATAAATAAATATTAAAATGAAATGAATTTGAAAAAAAAGAACCCAGGCTTGGAGTTGGACTGGGTTTGAATCTTGGCTCTACCAGTTTTTAGCTGTGTGAAATTTCTAAGCCTCCGTTTCCTCATCTATACAGTAAAGATTGAATAAGATGGTGCTAAATATATTACCAGCATATAATAAGCACTCAATGCATTTCAATGTGTTGGTCTGTAACTCTGGAATTTGAAACTACATCTCTACTCAGTTGATGTTTCAAGCCCCTATACTACTGGGGTGGAAACAATGGGAGTCAGTTTGATTTGCCTCCTCCATTCACCCAGGGTGCAGTCCACGTTGGGGGAGGTATGGATGCTAAGACTTAAGAGAGGAGGCCCATCTGGTCCTTGGCCACCTATTCACTCTCCACTGACATCTCCTTTCTTCTCATCCACCTTGCCCTTTTAGGCTCAGGGACCCTCATCACAACCAGAAGAGGGAGTAAGTCATCTAGCTACTTCCTTTCTGGCTGGGTTGGGCAATTTCTGCACAACAGTCTAAAGGCATAGCTGCCTGGCTCGTTATGCAACTGTTCCTTCTCAGGGTCCTTTGCTTTTCCAGTCCTTCCCAGGAAGCAGGGAGTGGGATCTCTATCACCAGGAGCCACCAATATCTAGATTCTCCCTACTTCTCCCCTGGTGGTGGTGGTGAGGGGGAAGGGGAGTCCCTTCTGGTTTCAGACAACACCCACTCTGTTCAAACCCCACATCTCCCAAAAGGTTTTGTCTCAGCCCTGAGTCTCCTCTGCTTCTCTGAAGGTTTGGATATTTTCTAGGTTTTGCTCCTTCACATTTCTCCCCTGAGACTATGAGCCTAGGCTGCCTAGCTGCTTGAATCGGCATGGGAAGAAAGGCAAAAGGAGAAATACCAAATGGGGGGGGGAGGGGGCGGGAGACTATTACGTAATATATCAAAAAATATTTTTTCATTATAGTTGTAGTTATATTATTTTTATTAGTTCAGACCCTTATTATCTCTTACCTGTGCTATTGCGATAAACTCCCAGTGGGTCTCTGTCCCTAACCTCAGTTCCCTTCAAGCCTCTGCTGCAAAAGGAATTTTTATAAAATATAAATCTTGTTCTGACCTATATCTAAAGTGTTTTTTGGCACATGACTGCTCCCCAGACCATGGTGCCCAAGGCCCCTGCAGGCTCTGGCCCTGTACCTCTCCAGGCTTACTTCCTGCCTCTCCCTGGTTGAACTTTGTTCTCCTATAAAACTGAACCGATTTTAATTTTCTGAACTTACCTCCTTGCT